TAGTCGGGAGGATCCTCATGTGGTCTTCTATGAATGGTTCATCATTGTTTCCAGGAGTTCGTCCCGTTGCGAACTATGCAGGTCTTTGGCGGGATTTCTGGATGCCGAGCTCCGCCTATCAATGAACCTTGCTTTGCCCACGCTTCGCGCGATGCGCTGGACTTATGATTTCCGCTTGCTGCGTCCGCTCGCGGCGACCGCGTCGCTTGCCGGACAGGCGCGCCGAATCTCCATGGGACACAAGTGAGCGAGGGCCTGTGCTGAAGGAGTCACCTTTATGCAGAAACTCGCTCTGTCGGTCTTCCCTGTGGCATGCCAGAGCCAGGGTTGATGGCGTTCGGAGCAGGCACTGAAATCTGCGCCTCTTTCGACTCGAAGAAAGCGTCGCTCTCTCGCCTCGATACCTCTATTTTCACCTAAAGCGATGAACCAATCATTTCAGCTCGGTTGTCTAGCTCGTGCGTAACACTGTACGGGAACACGGTTCGGGTTCTCTGCTGTCCGAGGCGTGCTGTGGGTCATATCAGTATGTGATCGTCTCGCTGTCCTGCAGTCGAAGTCCTCGATTACTTCTCCGGAATCGATTCCTGTAGCGATTCAGTTGTCGATCGATGAGACAGCTCGGCTGCTCGAGTGGCGGAGTCTGATCTTAGTCACACTCTGAGAATGTTTTGATAAGCTGGAGTTTAGTAAATGAGCGCTTGTGGCTGGGGATCGTCGACCCCCGTCTCAGCATGATTGTTATACGTGAGCAGTTCTGAAGTCGTTTGAGCTTCACATTGAAGTGGATGAGCTCAACGCCGACGACGGGAACGAAATAGGACAATCTGCTCCTTCCCATCAAGGGCAGTTAGCGGTCCGAATCATCAGCCGGGCAAATCACGAGGCTCCTGGAATGCGTGCCCTGACGCAAACGTCGGTATACCTCAGATAAATCGTTTAATTCCTACGAGGTGTCGCCCCGGAACGTTCATGGAAAGCGCACACGAGGAACGAAACTCTGAGACTTCGAGGGGCTTCCGAACCTTCGGGTTGCCACATTGAACCGTTCCTAGACTCTCGGAGACAAATCTGTAACATATGATCAGGTCACTTATTGACCTCAACATGATTCTCGTTACGGAGCTTCAGAGAGGGTCTGAAGTCTCTTGGAGTCCGTCGACTTAAATTCTCGTGTGAATCCCGGAATGGAGCTTTCCGGAGCTCCGCGGGAAAAGTAGAAGGTCCTCTCGTCGAGCCTCGCTGCATAAGGATTTTACAAGATCATGTGGATTCAACAAGAGTCCAATGATGGATATAGTTGTACGAACATACAGTTCAGAGTCAGTTTACCCACATCAGTCTTGCCCGAAGCGGACCCTACCTCCATAGCCGCAACGCTTGGTCATTCACTCGGCTTTCCTCATTCCCCTTCTGGAGGCCTCCCGGGACAGCTGTCGCCCTCTGGCGGACCACTTCGAAGCTTTTTTAGCTCGAGAGTCACCGCTCGGCTACGACGAGAACACTCTCACGTCTCAGTTCCACAAGTTCTGTTTCTTCCCCATGCTCTACCGGCCGCTTTTTGGCTGGAACAGTTCTCCAGCCTAAGCGCGCGAACAGAGCGGATACAGGAGAATATTTTGATGGGCGCAATGAGAGCTCCAGAACTCATAGATAGTCATGCAGCGCGAGTGTAAGCCTGTGAAGCCTCCTCTCGAAGCAAAAGAAGTCAGGTTCAAGACCGAGGGCGTATGAAATTCGCGATCCCTCGATAGCCAACGCGCGGCTCATCCTTCAGGTCGCAGGTTCTCCGCTGAAGAGCAGCGGGAATTCCGCTCCCCTCTCACTCAGGCAAACGCCGGAGTTTGAGACGAGAGTTTGGAGCACGGTGCGAGGCGCCGAATTAGACTAGTCACTGCAAGGGAATATGTGGAACGACACGCGGTTCGATGATAAGGCTTTATCCGGAACGGAGCGACGCTCAGAAACCAGAGGGGTCTCAATCCGAGACTGTCAGGCACAACCAAAAAACACCGGTCGGCTCATGAAAAGACTGAATACGATCCATTCCGATGCCTCTCCTGGCTTCTCGGGTCTTCCCCAAGACCGAAGCTCGAGGTCACGAGCCCCAAGGCGGGAAAACGGGCGAAACGTCTGGGACGGAGTGCTGAAGGGAGCTTGCTCCCCTGGGCCCTCTCAAGCCGACGGGAGGATTGATCGGAGACGATCGTTGAATTCGCATCTATCACGAAGGTGATCGTGGATGATTGAGCGTCTAGCTATAATCATAATTAATCAATCCCTTAATATACTATCGGAATCTGCTCGAATGACGATGGTTCAAGAAGAGATGCGCCGATATTTATCCCTACGACATTGAATAATGAGCTTATTCTAAATTCTCAGACTCATTCTTCGCCCGGAATACACGTGGATCTGTTGGAATCAAGGGCTTGGAGTTTATGAAGATAGAAGTCCCGAATATCAGGGATGGAGCTCTCCAGAGTCAGATAGTGAGCTTCCTGGTGGGACGTCAACGGATCACTTGACGGAAAAACCGGAGGGCATCAAGGAGTTTTCCCCGAGCAATCGGAAGAGGAAAAACATATGAATTGTGTGTGTGCTCTACCTCTGAGTGATTCTAATCGCATCCTTCATCTTCAGTCTTTCCCAATCATTACGAGGTTCCCCCGAGCAATTTATAGATTCGGAATCAGATCGCCGTGCGAGCGAGGAATCAGATCAGTAGTCTACATCTCGCCGACTCAAGTACCTGGAAGTTCCATATCTAAGGTTAGTCAGGTCCTTGATGCCGCTCAGAAACCTGGGGAAAATTACAGGGTGCACTTACACGAAGAGCATCAATCTCAGAGCATACTCGATATACAAGCTGAGCTGAGCGACGCGGTTCATCACATTATCGAATTCCTCGGAGAAAACGAATACTCGAGGGACTCCAGGTGACAAGTCCGAACTTCCTTCCGATTCTTGAGCATTCTTGGCTTTCCCGAGGGATAGTCCCACAGCTTTGTCCTTAGCTGTCGCCTTTTTTTGTCTCAGCTTGGGCCGAAGCTTGGTAGTTGGCGAGGGAGCATCTTGTTTACCGGATGTTTTGAAATCTCGCGCTACAGGTGTGCGAGACCTCTTGGCTCGCCGTCGAGCCGGTCGATCCGATCTCGTCGGGGATGATTGGGGCTCGCAAGCTCGCGGGAGGTGAATCGGCGGTTCACTCCCGTGCCCCGAAGCCGAACTCGATCCCTCGGGTTCCGAGCGAGACTTCCGGATTCTGGATTTCCGTCTCGACAATTTTGTTCTGGGCATCGTTGTCCATGGGTTTCGATGAAGTGTAGGACATCGGAGATCAGGATTTGAATTCGAAGGTACTGGGAGTGCGGGCCCTACTCACATGGAGTCAACGCGTCAGCAGGATGCTTCGAACTCGAAATGGATCAGGATGAATTGTATGACTAGGCCTCGAGTTCCCCGGGGATCAGAATAGTCTCAAGTCTCATTCAGCAGCGAGATGCTTCCGTGCACTGCGCTGCATCTCTGTCGTCTCCTATTACGCCAAATGCATTGTTTACTCCTCTTTGAGTCTGGACTCACACGCCGATGTTTCACGCGAGCTTCCTTCGGGTGGGTTTTCGTTTCCACCGCGTCCTTCATCGCCAGTAGATCAACGATTCCCGACTTTTTTCGTCCCGCGAACCCCCGACGGGGCTCAGAGAAGTCCGCCGAACGCCTGTGCACCATCGCCTTGCGGAAGCCCAGGGGAAGCCTCGCCGAACCCGCGGTGACAACCGCTGCTGCGGAAGACGAAGGTCTGTGTCAGATATTCAAAAGGTACCGCCACCGAATTGTGTAAATAAATGCCTGTCTGGAAGCAGGAAATTGCGTCTCGTCCTAGAAAGAATCGTGGAGCCCCCCTTGATCTGGCTTTCCGGTGGTGCCACCTGGGTACGGAGCTTCGAGTCCGACCACGAAGTTCGGGCACTCGGACCCAGCTCTCAGCAAGGGGGTATTCTGCTCGTGAAGGATCATCAAGCATCGACTGGTGTATTAAGCATGCGTCCTCGTAGAGTATCAGCGAAATCGTGAGAACCACATACTTCCGCTAAGTGTACACCTCCCATGATCCAGGCGCCTTCCATGAAGAATATCGGGAAGGAGCCTTCGCTTCTCGAGCTTCGTTTCTCGAGCTTCGTTTCAACATCTTTCTGCCTCCACAGGTATGAGATCGAGTCGGTGAGGCTCGAAAAACTCCTCGAAGATATATCCGTCATGATGCCCAGGTATGGGCCTGGAAGTGGCGCGTCTTCATCTTGACTCCGGATGACCATCGGTTGCCCCCCAAGAATTTGATCCGAGATCTGCTTCTGACGCTTTTCATGGTCAAAGGCGGGCGTTGTGATGACGAATCAGGACAAGCATCGCGATATCATAGCGCGACTGATCTGCCGTGCTTAGGGACATTGAGTACATTGACGGTGGGCGCTCGCTGTTCGTCCGTCGCCTTGCTCACGGGCGCCTCTCTCTGGGGTCTGTGTGGAGCATCCGCTCGTTCCGCCATTTATCCTCGCGGTCATCCTGAACGTGTAATTCAGCTTACGGGAAACGATGTCGCGACTCCCTTTCCCTGTGTATTCTACAGGGATATGGTACATACATCTGGATTATGGACAGCATCTCACGAATACTCTCTTAAGCTCAAATCCTATTGGGAAGTCAGTCCGAACAGCTAACGCGGGGCCCATTCGGCCCTGGAGAAGCCTCCGCTAAAAAACCCGACAGTTATCATATGGGCATCAAGGGGAAGTCAGCCGGTTGATCTCATTTGGGAAAGCATTGAGAGGGCAGGACTAGAGACCTTATCCGAGGAAAGACGGGCAATGCCGCGCGACATTACTCGGGACGGGAGAATTCCGAGGAATGTATCGCGGTCGCCAGCGGAAATTCAACGGTCGAGGGGGGTCCCATGTTGATTCGGAAGGTTTTGCGCGGAAGACTCATATCATTTTGGATTACACAAACTTTATTTCGATCTACTTCTTTTCTTCCCCAAATTTTGATCTACTCGTTTCAAGACGAATGACTCTATACAGTCGTGTCTATTAATTGTAACTACTACATACATATTGTAGGTCTAATCTGTGTTGCAATCGGACGATCAAGAATTGATCGGAACCGAACAACTCCAAAGCGAATCTCCGCAGCAATGCTTCGATCGAAGGTGAAGGGAGCTCCGCCAGGTCACCGTCGCAACATCCTTGAATTTCTAAGAACTTTATTTCTCCTATTTTCTAATTAAAAAATCTAGGAATAATTCGATAACCTAAACTGATTTTCACTCAATAGTTCCGACGCCATCCACACAAGTCTCTTCTTCTGGCATGTTTTACACCGAATCGATGGCACTGTCCTCCCGTCTGCTCGGAAGCCACGACCCGGCATGACAGTATCGCGCACGCTTCGGGTAAATACCGTCTCGGGCATCATAATTTTCTCTATTCGGTTGTTCGATCTCCTGTAGAATAAAATTAGTTTTTCGGTTGAAACATCGAACCTATTCGAGCTCTAGAGGTCGATCTCCTAATGGTACGTTGGCTTCGAGGCTGTTGCGGACGTCATTGATCGAGTGAAGGCAATACCTTGATTGTGTGGAGATCTTTGGCTAACCAATAGAACCGCAGCCTGCGATGTTCGAGATCACATCTCACTGCTGCGAAATCATTACTGAGCTCACGCTTTGGAGAAAGCCTGCGTGCTTCTTGCGATTCCCTGACATCTCTGACATTTTGGGTCGCAACGAAATCGAATCCCTCGAAGTGCATTTCTTCGGCGGTGAAAGTTCTCTCCTCCGTCACGTGTGCTTCCGGCGAACTGGAAAACATACGGGTCAGCGAATTTCGGTCGTATGAGTAGACCATCATTCAAAATGATTCGTTTTCCGCGAAGTCCCCGTCCATGCTCGCCTGCCGAGTCCTGGTCGGCTACGGAGACCAAGGAGACCTCCTTGAAAGGAAAGAAAGCTCACCTGTTGCACGAGGCACTGCTCAACGAGGCGCTGTCGGACATGTTGAAATCACTCAGAAGTCCGATTTTCTTTGAGATAACTAATTCCTTGTCCTAAAGTCGGCGTGGCCGGGATTTTCGATCCAACGGTCAAAGTTCTTCTGCTTTAGAGAACGTTTCGGGTGACGTGTGATCGGAAAATCAGCGCGGTAGTGCCGACGTCATACGTGCATAACAGATTGGAGACGCGATGAACGTGCGGGACATTTTATGTAATGAGAGAGTGAGAGCGACTTAGAGTGAGGAGAATGGGCGATGGACTTCGTTGCCCCGATGCAGAACTCATCCGAACTTCCGGCTATCTGAAGGATCTTAAGGCTCTGAGTTCTGATCAGCTATGACGCATCTCGCGATTCCTCGAAATCGGAGTTTAGAGCACTGGCTTTGCTAGGGACCTTCCTCAGCCCAACAGATCCTGGGAGCTCTCCGCTCTCCACTTTGGGATTATCATAATGTAATTGAGTCTCGGATCTTTCAATTCAACGCTCCCTTGAGCAGCCCGCAAAAGCAGCCGAAGGAAATCGTGGAGAATTATCTTTGGAACAGGCACTGTCCTCTTGCATCGTGAGCCCTTAGAATGAAAGTCAGATTAGCAGAGGAACCGCTTCCGAGGCGTGCTCGGCTTTGGAGGAACAAAACGGAGAGTTTAGTGGATCGGGAACGATGGTTTCGCTGCTGCTGAAGACATCGGCCTAACGGAGATGGCGCCGACAGCGAGACTCCCTCCTCTTCTTTCTCGGTCTCTCGCTTCATGTTCCTTTCATCAGAGCGCGACGTTCATTGCTGTTCTTTCCAGTGCGTCTTTTCCTTCCTGTTTTAATTAGGAATTAATATTAATGATATTGTTAGCCGCAACGGCGACCGCCAGCTCCCGCGAAGAAGTCTGTCGTTGAATTACATTTGCTCAAAGAAGCTCCGAGCACATTTTCAGCCCCTCTAAGACTGTGGCGCTCGCAGTTTCCCTCCGAGGATTTCCCCCACAGCTCGGTCATCACTCATCACTGTCGGCGTTTCAATGCTCGTCCGAGCCAGGGAACGATCGGGGATCAAGGCTCTTCCTCGGTTTCTCTTCTTCCTCAATAGCGTTTCTGATCGAAATTCTCCGAGTGCGAGAGGGGTAGGCTGGTCGGGGTAATTCTTAGCAGGGAATTAATACCGACCGAGTAGTGGTTATCGGGCAGTCGATACTCGGATCAGACATAATGAGCAAACTCTCATCAGCGGACTCGGCTTCTGCAACGGAGTCCCCGAAGAGCCGGTCGCTGATCCGCTGATCGACTTCTGATCAACTGCGCTGAAGAGTACGCCGAAAAGTGGACTTGGAGAGCCCTACTCGACGTATCATGAGCGCTGCCGAATTTCCGTGAACAGCCGAATCTTCCTGCGGAATGCGACGCCTGATAATCCGGGGTATAAAAATGGTCTCGACAGCAAGTTCAGTCAGGGTTCGTCTGATCTATCTCAAAGAGTTTCTGGGGCGATGACCTCTTCCTTGGGAATCATTGAGCTCGAAAAGATTGCGCATGGCACTACTCGAGTGTACTCTAGCTCGATCCTGAGGTAGCGATAACTATTGGCCTGGACCCGCAATATGCTCCAGATAGACAAACCTTATGCACTCATCCAGGATTCATCAAGAAGATTCCAATGTATTGGACAGCCGAGCGCTGGGATTGCATCCTCCATCAGGTATATATTTCCATACATCGGAGGAATTCCTCCTTTTTTGAGCCCGTAGACTGGCCTGCTCAAATCCTATCATAAAACTTCCTGTGCGGATATTCAGCTTGCGTAACTCGCGCATGGAGCTCAGAAAATCGCAGTCGACCCATCGTCCTCACCTCAGCGCCCTGGGTCTGAATGCGCTTTCGGTTCTAATACGTCAAACTAGCCGAACCGACTGTTTTGGACAATCAGTCCCGACCTTCCTTCCCATAATACTCAAAGCGACTCCCAACGACGGGAGCGAGCGAGTTCTGATAAATCGAGAAGGTTCTGAGTTTTACATCTCGATCTCGTAATCGGATTCCTCTTTCGCCAGCTCGTCCAACTCAGGATTTAGTTTGACTCGGCACGACGTTCTTCGGGAGAGCGGGCGCATGAGCGGCGGGAAACATCCACGAGCCCACTCTTTCACTACCCTCAATATAGTTTGTGCTGGGATTGAGAGGAATTTCCCGAGTAGTCTTAGCAGATAGAGTTTTTTTGTGCCCGGCGTTCCGACTGTGCTCCACGAAAGGATCCGATCGCGTCGCACCGGCTCGACCCCAGGAAAAAGTTAGGAGAAAATAATCCGGTCAAGTCAGAAAGCCTCAATGGGTTTTGACATTTTTTGTGCACATGGGTTTGAGCCCGCAGCGCGCGGCATCGACGACTCACGGAGAATGCAAGCCCAATTACCTAATCGGATTTTCACTTTTTCTCCCGAAAGCCCCACCCTTTCAGTTCGCTCATCATCATCTGTAGCCCAGCTTCTGATCGTGCGGATGACCTGGAACATACTTTCGGGTCGCAGAGGGAGATGGCACCGGCTGATGTCCCTGCGAGCTCCCAACATCCTAGAATACATTGGGTGTGCGTCCGTATAGAGACGATTCGGTTGCTTCGGAGCGACCTGTGATCATCCCTCGTCGAACGCGCATGGAGTCTAGAAGTCGGCATGGCACGTGGCCCTCGACTTACGCCGGATCTATTTGTTGTCGCGAGTCTGTTACGATATTAGGCCCAAGGCGTCCTACGGCTCGGCCCCTGACTGCATGGAAGCGTGTGCCGGCGTCGTCGTATACTGCGACACGTCCATGATATTAATACCTTAAAAGCTTTCACGACATCGTCGCATCAGTAAAAAATGCACCACAACAAGAGGCCTGCACATCCTCCGCCTATAGGACACTGGCGTTAATTATACAGAAGATGTTCACCGTGTAGAGATGTTTGGGCGGTGCGTAGGCTCGGCGACAGCTACCGCCGGCCGTTGTCGCTGTTGCTGCCCTAACCCGTTGCCTTCATTGGCAACTCCACTGGACCGGGTCCCTCCTCGGGCGGCAGGTGGAGCATCAAAGTGGAGCAACCACTTGTTTGCGTTCAGCTGAGCGAAGCACGAGCGCGACATCCGGCGAGCTCGCTCGCAGGCTACAAGGAGGTTCAGAAAGACGTCCGTCCCCATTATCGACTTCGAGACGGGATTTCCACCCTGTACGAATCATAGGCCCAATCTTGGAGCGCGCTTAGAGCCCTGTCGATGAGCATCGGATGGGAACGATGATCGAACGGGGAGCGAACTTTGGTTTGGGAAAGATTCAGATTAGCGCGGAGACTCAACTCGTCATCGTCCTGACTGGATCAGTGCTGCGTGGCGGTTCGATCGAGCCAGCCAGGCGGTGGGTGAATGGGTAAATCATTTGACGTTCAGAGGATTTCTAATGCATTCGACGTGCATTATTGAAAACCATCCTTTATAGGAATCACTCCGGAGACGGAGCTCATGAGCGGCCGCCGCGCGTGGGGTTTCTTGCACTGAGATTTGTTGAAGGGCATTTGAGGACTTCCCGTCGCAAGCGCTCCGGATCCTCTGACGATCTGACTGCGCCGCGCCACCATTTTCCAACGTCTGATTCTCATCAATTCCCGCCACACATTCCCCGCCACCAATTCGCTCCCCTGTTGTAGAGTCGACTCCTGATTATGAGTTTTCAAGGACGTCTCATTTGGCCGGATATCGATCCTAATGCGCACTGTCCGCGAGGAGATCAGGCGCTCCAAGGCTTTCAACAGCCGGGCTCTGTATTCGTCCGTGATGTGTTGCTTCCAGAGAGCGAACGGAGCAGCTAGTCTCTGTCTCTGACGTATCTGCAATTCCGAAAGGTCTGACTGAACAAACGACCGTCTGGTCTGCTGTATTAAGAGGGCGCTGATTCCGGGGTCTCCCATATCTTCAGAGGTTGTCCAGAAATACGAAGTTCGGCAAGATGGCTAATCAAGCTGAGGTCGATGTCAGATATCTTCTACCCTGTCCATTCCCCGAACCTTTTTTCCCCCCTACCTCAGATACCCTCAGGCCCACCGGGACGTCGCGTCAAGGCAGAAGGATTCGTTCTTCGGTCAATCGAGCGGGATGTTCAATCTAGTTGTTGCGGCGAAGTCTATTATCTTTTCGTCTCGAGGCATCTCACAGCGTGAGAATCGCAGCCCGAGAACCCGGAAGGTTTTGCGAGTGAATCTCACTCGCGAGCGATGGTCTCCTCCGGGGGCAAACTCCGAAGTTTATGTGTGAGAAAGTTTTTATGGGGAAAGCCGCCACATTCAATCGTTGAGAGGGATCGGTTCATCCTTTCCTACTCCGAGAGGGGTAATTAGCGGATAAATAAGGGTGATACAGGGAGTTCGGGAAAAATTCGAGCAACCGACGAAACCGTTGCCGAGATTGAACGAGCAGACTGTGGCAGCGGCGGCAAGAGTTCGGCTGTGACAAATAGTAGATTACCTCCCTAGGGTGTTCGTCCTCCTTTCTCCCAGTCCTCCCATAGGGGAAGTCAAATCACGAACAAAGGGACACAAAACTTTGATTTTAACCTACGACGCACTAATCGGATACTGGTATCGAGAGATTGGCAGTCAGTCACGTTTTAACGCTTAATGACCGGCTTCAGCAACAGCGGGGAAGAAGGTGTGAGAGGAAGTAGCTGAGAAAAAAAATAGACTTTACTCAACGACTCCGATTCCGCTGTACCGTAGCTCCACTCTCCGAGCATGACTCCCAAAGTCTAACGATATCCCTCTCGCGTTCGCTCCGGGGAGAGACGATTATCAGAAGGCACCGTCCCAGATGCTCGACTCCCGGATACTCGACTAATTTAGCGATTGGCTAAGAAAAAGAGACAATAAAGTATAAAATGAGCATCCAGGACGCCGGACACCTGAGAGTCGGGCTCCTTATACCCTGAAACGATACTTCACTGCTTCACTCCGCGCATAATGAGAGCCATTCTGCAGCCGAGGTCTGAATTTTCAACGACTCCCCCCCGCGACCCTTGTTCTTGTCCGGGGCCCTGATGAAAACGGGTAGAGAGCGTGCCGTTTCCTCCTAATGATAATAATATTCGCTATAATATCGATGGATGTCCTCGCGGTCTTGATGGTATAGAGCTCATTGTCGAT